TGCTCATGGCTTCTGATCCCGCTCTGACAGGGCCGGCGGGCCACAGGGCCGGGGATAGCACCCTGGTACTTCTCTCGTCTCGTGCCTGCACCCGTCACTCAGCCCTTTCACCCACAGCTTGCCTCTGCCCTCTGCCGGGCACCTCCCACGCGTCCCCCCAGCTGCTCCGCCCTGCGGGGTCGCCTCGCACCCCAGCTCTCCGCGTGTCCTGTCGGCGTCTCTCCAGTGCTGCCCCTTGTCACACTTCGGTCCCTCCCCGCTCTGAGCACCGCGTGTACTGACTGTCTGCGCTTTGACGCAGTCCCCTCCTCTCCCCGTGGGCTGTAAGTGCCCGTGGGCTGTCCGTGCCCCGCGGGCTGTCCGTGCCCCGCGGGCTGTCCGTGCCCCGTGGGCTGTCCGTGCCCCGCGGCTGGAGTTCTGGTCTGCTCTACGGATTGCCGGGTCCAGGAGCTCAGAACAGGCCCTCACGCGATAGTGCCCAGGGCACGTTGGCTAAATGAGTGATGGAGGAGTGTGTGCTGACATGTCACACATACAGTCAGTCTCTGAGGGGACATTTTGTTCTTTTTGTTTGTTTTCAGTGGAACATTTTGTTGAAGTGGATTAGATTGCATGATTTCCTGGCTTGTGCAATTTTTAAGATGACTTCTACGATCTTGGAGTAGGTGAAGGCTGTATGTGTATAAGGAAACCATCCACTTTACAGTTTGCAGTCCTAAAGGTGTGGGGCAGAAGTGTGAAATTGTGTGGGAAAACATGGAAAGACTGTGTTTAAGATAGAAAGAATGCATTCTAGGATTCTAGCAGTATAAATAGGTGTAGACCTATTAGTATGTTAATAGTTTAGGTTGGAGGCTCTTAACTTCTGTGTGGCTATATTTTGAAATCCAGGTGCATATCATATGCTCAACTTGGATAACCTGTATCTACTCCAAAAACTTGAGTGTATTTCAGGGAATGTATGCACCCTAGTGAGCACCCCATGTGGTCCAGTAGATTCTAGGTGAGCCTTTTGGAGTAGGTATAACAGGTAACCAAGTGGCAGAGTTGAGGGACAACCTGAGAGAAGGTTTTGTAGGAGCCAGAACAGTGCCATCAACAAACACAAGTGCGGGGACGGTGTGCCCTGATGGTGGGAATGCACAGGTGCAGCCACTATGCAAAACTGTGGCATTTCCTCAAAAAATTGAAATGAAACTGCAGTTTCATCCAGCAATCCCACTTCTGGGACTATACCCTAAAAAGTCTGAAACACGAATCAGAAAGAATATATGCCCCCTATGTTCACAGCAGCACTATTTACAATAGCTAAGATCTGGAAACAGCCCAAGTGCCCATCAGTAGATGAGTGGATAAAAAAGCTGTGGTACATACACACAATGGAACACTATGCAGCTATTAAAAAGAAGCTCTTACTCTCTGAGACAGCATGGGAAGGACCTGGAGAGTATTGTGCTAAGTGAAATAAGCCAGCCAGAGAAAGATAAGTATATGATTTCACTTATATGTGGTATCTAATGAACAAAATAAATTGACAAACAAAATAGGGCCAGAGATATGGAAGCAAGGAGCAGAATAACAGATGTCATTGGGGGCTGGGAGGGGACAGGAAGAGATTAACCAAAGAATATGGGCGCTGGGTGGAATGGGGCAAAAGGGAAATATTGGGAAACATCTGTAATACTGTCAACATTAAAATTTAAAAGAGAGAAATACATAACAACATTCCAAAAGATAATGAGTATTATCAACACATACTGATAAGTGCAAACTTTCAAATTATTTGTAAAATAGATTTCTTAGGACATAGAATGGTGTCAGGTTTTAAGGAAGGATAGTGTTGGTGAAGAAATGATACTAAGGACAGAAATGCACAGTCCTTTGATCCCAGATAAACAATGTGGCCATACTGTCAAAGGGGAGATAGTTCTTATAAATGCCTACAGTTGTAGATGGAGGAAGAATCTGAGGAAACCGTCAGATCCAGCTTCCCCCCGTCTCACCGTCCCTTTGACACGATCATCGGAGCCGTTTGAGCATACCAGTACTTGGAAAATGGAGTTCGTGGAGGTTACTGGAGATGTGTTCCTCTTGTGGGCCCTGATCTGATATTTGGACATACCTTGGAGTCTCACCTCATTTCCTTATCATATACCTTCAGGTGTTTAATTGGTAGAATTTGTTCTCTTTTTTCTGTAACAGTTTAGTCTCAGCCCTGTCTCTCATGACTTGATTTCCAGATTTACTACCATCCTGTTGGTCATTATTCTTGAAACACGGTGCCTACGTCTGCACGTAGGGTTTCGTTTATGAGGCCTGACAGTCACAACGTGTGTCCGGTTTATTGTCTTTCGGTCTGGGTGCTGACAGAGGCCCAGGCTGCATCAGCACTTTGGGGAGTCATAAAATTACTGACAATAGCCGAAATGTATTGACCAGTCACAATATCCCAGATAAAGTGCTAAACACTTTATATACCTTGTATCTTTTAATCTTCGTAACAATCTTATTGAGGTTCAAACTATTGAGTCTCATCTTAAAGGCGAAGAGAATGGAGCTTAGAGAGATTTACTTGCCCTTCGTAAGATGTGCGCACGTCTCAGTAATTGTTGGAGGTAGAATTCTAACTCAGATTTGCGTGACATTAATAACGGGGCTTTTAGCCGCTGTGCTACTGTATTTAAATACCTTGTCATGCCATCAGACTCTGATGAGTTTGCTGTCAATGAAGTCAATTTTCCGTAATATAGTTCTTTGCACTTGACATGATGCCTGTACTAGTCTGACAGAGAATTTTTGCCCAAAGTTGGTAATGATCTGTTAATCAGAAATTTTTGATAGTGGCCTTTCTGCCATCTGTAAATTTGTCTCACAGCACTGTGAATCAGCCTGTGTTTCTTTATTTTATCCATACAGATGTTAATGAGAGATGTAAAAAAGAAAATACTATCGTTTCACTGATGAGCCAAGACTTGATCCTTTGCTTTCTAGAGAGCCATTGAAATCGTGCATCTCAACATTGGTTTAGAAGCTTAGAGAAGATACGCCCAAATTATAGTTTGTTCTTTTTTTAGTTGATCTTTATGTAGATCAGTATAACTTGATACTGTGTATCTTGTAGGCAGAAAATTATTTCAGTTTAGACAGTGGTAACTATTGTTAACATAAGAAAACTCATAATTGGCATCCTTTTAAATAGTCTTGTTTATTCTCCCCGTTATGTGACATAAGTGGCATTCATGGTGCTGTCTTCACAGTGATAAACAAGTGTGAGATCACACAGCTTGAGAATAGTTTGGTTCTCATGACTTACTCTTCTGACTCCACATCCTATAGTCTTTCTATGTCACATCGCCTCTCAGTGACATCGGTGAAGTCATTAGATAAGCAATGGCCAGTGACAGGACTGAAAATATAATGTGTGATTTTGGTAGTTTAATAAAATAGTTGAGAGTTAAGGGTGGAGCCTAATGAATTTGAATGTATCCATAAAGAGAAAAGAACAAAATACCCAAATGTGATGAAGAGACGTTTTTGGCATAAGTAAAATTATTTAAGGTTATAATAACTTTTGGTCACAAAAATTAAAGAATAATAATAACATTTAATAATCAAATAATAATTCCTGAAATTAAGAATAATACAGATTTAGACTTTCGACATTGAAGAAGTCATTGACAACATTAACAAAAGCATTTCTTTGAATAAAATATTGGCATTAAGGAGGCTTAAGTCAGACTGACGAGCGTGAGCCACCGACACGGACGCCTCAGGTGGGCTCTCCTGTGGGGGACTGAGGTGCAGGTGCGTCCGAAGGCCGAGCTCGGATGGGACATTCCGTCCTCCATCACCAGTTTCAAGCTTTACACTGAGCTGCAGACATCTCCCGTATCTACTCTCTAGGCCAGTGCTTCTCAGCCGGTGTGCCGTGGCACCCTGGGCTGCTGCCAGGAGTTTTCAGCCTGCAGTGCCCGCCTATCTAGTTGGGCAGTGGCCTCATTCCCTTAGATTATCAAATCGAAAAGTGACAACTGCCAACACAACAGTAACTGTGTGTTGTGAATGAAGCAAAATTACACCTATTGATTTTTGTCAGATTGCCAGAAGTATTTTGGGGTGTGCTGCAGAGTTTCAGTAGTTTGTGTGCCATAGATGAAAATGGCTGAAAATCGCTGTTCTAGATAAATGAGTTCAATGAGTGCTTCAAAGTATGAGTTAAATGAAGTCGCAGTGCTGTAAACTTGAGAAGAATGAAGCTTCCTGCAAAGAATACATTTATTATGTTAGAAAAAGAGTTTATCTTTTAAATTGACTAATATTCCTATTCATTTAAAATCGAAGGTTGACACAATGTCACATCCAGACATCTTGTATGAACCTCATTTAAATATGCTAAAAAAATGTCGGAGAAAAGGCTCAACTACTGTGTTCAAAAGTCAAGGCTTAAAAGCTAAATAGATTTTCACCAAATGTCTGGTGTATACTTTTAGTTCTTTTTGATTATATTAACATTTCTACTCTGAAAAAGAATTCAATTTTGTTCATAAGAGTAAAATATAAACTTATTTAATATCACATTTCTTGATTTACCTTTTGCTTTACTATGAAGATTTAGAATTTGACTTTCAAAGATTTTGTGACTATTTTACTCATGGAGAATATAATATAGGTAAGATGGACGTTTTATGTGTACTTAAAAAAAAAAAAGCTCTGTGTGCATGTACAAAGTCTTCTGACACGAGCACACATTTCCCCAAAGTCGTGATTGTCTCCCACGTGCCATCTGGAAGACTGTTTGCAAACTGCCAATTCTGCAGTAGGTGTTTGCCAGGGGCACAGTGCTCGGCACACTGTACGTGTCCTTAACACCATGCGTTTTCGGCAGGAAGTCGTGCTCACGAGTCTTTAAAAGGGAAAAGGAAAGAACATGTTGCCTGTGTGTGTGCCGTGGTCGGGCTGGGAGTCACCTGAACCCTGTTTGTCCCCCCGTCTGTCTGCAGGAGCGTGGTGGTGCCGGTGAAGAAGCCGCCCGGCAGCCTAGCGGTGACCACGGTGGGGGCCCCGGCCGCGGGGGGCGGGCTGCCGGCCGGCAGCCCCGCTAATGTATTCGCTGCCACGGGAGCCACACCAAAAAGTATGATTAATACAACAGGTATCGTCCTTATATATTTTTGTGATACCTCATCTTTTTCTTTCTGTTTTCTGTTTCTTCATTTTTCTGCTGTTTTGATCTTAAAAACTAAAGTACCCTGATCATTTAAGGGTGTCTTAATCTTTAAGAAGGTTCTATTTTATGTTCCTACCTTTCAGAATGTGTCTGTAGTTCTAGGTGTTTATTTCACTGGCATTTTAAAGGACACTCGTAGTTTTTGGTTTGAGTCTTCTCAAAACATAGTGCTGTTTACTTTCAGACTGAAGTCAGATTGCCAAAAGGTTTTGGGGAGCAAAACCAGAGGTAATTGGACACTGAAGTTCAATATGTAAAAATCCATCAATTTTGTCAAGAATAATGAAGTGCACCAAGTATGTTAGTAACAGAAACTAGATTTACTGATATTTACTGGTTGAATCCTAATCTACATTTGTTGCTAAGTCCTCTAAGGGAAGGCAGAGCTCCCCAAGCACCTGACGATGTGCAAGAGCTTCATCTGATGGAAGATGCATGGGCTAGGAACCATGCTGTGACACCGAGTTACTGTGTACACCTAGAGAGCGGTTGTACCCACGACACCGAGTTACTGTGTACACCTAGAGAATGGTTGTACCCACGACACCGAGTTACTATGTACACCTAGAGAACAGTTGTAATCAAGACATTGACTTACTATGTACACCTAGAGAACGGTTGTATCCAAGACATTGACTTACTATGTACACCTAGAGAACAGTTGTATCCAAGACACCGAGTTGCTGTGTATACCTAGAGAACAGTTGTATCCAAGACACTGAGTTACTATGTACACCTAGAGAACAATTGTACCCACGACACTGAGTTACTATGTACACCTAGAGAACAGTTGTATCCAAGACACTGAGTTACTGTGTACACCTAGAGAACAGTTGTATCCAAGACACCGAGTTGCTGTGTACACCTAGAGAACAGTTGTATCCAAGACACTGAGTTACTGTGTAAACCTAGAGAACGGTTGTATTCAGGACACCGAGTTACTATGTACACCTAGAGAACAGTTGTATCCAAGACACTGAGTTACTATGTACACCTAGAGAACAGTTGTATCCAATTCATTTCCAACAGTTTTCTGATGATTCCAGGGACAAAAAATTCCAAATCACTACAAGTTTTAAAAACCTGCCTAAAATAGCCTCTTTTTTTTTTTTTTTGTAAATTTCCAGAAATGTTCCTGTTGATTAATAGCTAAATAAATCCTTACCCAAATCTTTGTGATTCCATTTTAGGTATTTATACAACGCAAGATGATCCCTGACTTTCCTCCCCTGACTATAGTAGCGTTCTCCTCTCCAAACTGTATAGCCTTGAACTTTTCCACCTGTTATCGTTACTTAGATTCTTCCCATTGTTATTGATTTCATAGCTCTTCTTTGTGCTGTCTGTATCTATCTTGTTTATCACGCCACCAGAGTGACATTTCATGAACAACACATTTATGGGGTTGTAGTAAGTAGAATGTACTCTGACATTTATATGAGCAAATAAACATCATCGATGACGTTGTGTTAAAGAACATAACATCTTTGATTTACCTATATTATAAATATTTATATCTGGCTTTTCTGAAGACTTTATATAAATTGTATTCAGTTTACAATCTTACTCTTTATATTCATTTTGCTTCCTGGAAATAGGAATGGAAATGTTTTTCTTTTACCAAAATCTATACCAGAAAAAGTGTTAAGGGTTTAAAAATATGCAAATGTAGTGAAAAAAATCGGAATTTGGTATTTATTGAATAAGTCCTTATTTTCAAAATATAGGTAAATGAAACTTAAATTACCTTTTTATCTTTATATGAAACACATTATTTTGTTCTCATTTCTATTTTATGAATTAATAAGAGATATAGGAAGTGATGGTAGCAAGAGGTCCATTGATAGAATAGAGAATATAATATTACAATGAAAAATAAAATGGAAGTAACAAATCCTAGAGGTTTTGTTGGCCCATAGAATGTGTGTACGCACCCATTTTGTGGGCCAGCACCTGAACGGAGCCCATTGTCCGGCTTACATTGGGCACATAGATGCTGTATAACTTTTAGAATGGAAGTCCCAGTCAGCAACCCCATTTTATGGGAATTAATGTAAGATAAGATAATATTTAGGAACACTAGATGTCTCTCAACTCCACAGCTATTTCATATACTTACTTACACGGTGTATTATAGAAAAGTTTGTTCTAAAATGGCTTCTTCATATCGTTGAGGAGAGTTCATTTTAAATCAGGTGTAATTATACTCATTATAGCCCTTCTTATGCAATCTTTACATCAAAATAAGCATTTGATGCTCCAGTGCCACTAATTTATGCTCAATTTATTGTAAGTTATATCTTAGATTAAAGAAACTAAAAATATTACAGCATAGCCATAAAACAGATAAATTTTCCACATCTAAGTTTACATGGTTTTATCAGCCTCATTTATCTTAAATTATTTTCATTTGTTGATGTCTTTTATTTATACCCCATGTGTAGTATGTAGTTTTGTTAGATTCATATAAGTAAATCAACTGGAATTTAATGCAACATTAATTATAATTATAAATAATTATTAGTGTTCTAATAGCCAGTGATTTTTTAATTGTTAAATTCTGTTTTGGAATTCAGATGAGTAGTTATTCAAAGTCAGATAGCAATGATGTAATGAAAACTATTTTGTTAACTAAATTTATGTTCAAGGCTAAAAATTACTATTTTGGAAACAGGTGCAGTGGATTCAGGGTCCTCCTCCTCCTCCTCCACCTCTAGTTTTGTGAACGGTGCTACCAGCAAAAACCTTCCAGCTGTGCAGACCGTGGCTCCCATGCCCGAGGACTCGGCTGAGAACATGAGGTATGCGTGCCGCCGGCGTGTCCCTATAGCGCCGGGCTCCCCCCCCTCCCCCCCCGTGTCTTCCAGCGTGGCAAAGCAGCGCCCAGTGAACAGAGCTAAGAGCCTCTGAGTGTGATCAGTGATGTACTTTGTGACTACGTTTCATATTTGCATTGTTTCAATGCTTTTAGCTTGTTATTCATCATACAAAAACCTGTTATGATAATTAAGCATCCAGAGATCTTGAATAATTTCAAACACTGACTCTCCTGAATTTATAATCCATTGTCATACAGCATGTCATAGTATCCGATGAAATAAAAACATAATAAAAAGGGGTATCTTTGGGGTGGTGGTGATAGGTTTAAATACAGACTTTCAAAATAAATGTTCAAATTATAGATAACATAAATAATTGGAACTTGAGTAACCAAACACTTTTTATTGTGATTAATAGATACAAATGTTTTTTAGCCCTGGCCGTTGTGGCTCAGTTGGTTGGGCATAGTCCAGTGCACTGAAAAATTGCCTGTTCGTTCCTGGTCAGGGCACATGGCTGGGTTGTGGGCTCGATCCCCAGTAGGGGGTGAGCAGGAGGCAGGCAGAGATGTCCCACACTAATGTTTCTTTATCTCTCCCCTCTCCCTTCTTCTCTCTAAAAATCAATTTAAAATGAATGATTGACCAAAGAACTTCCATGCATGTCTGTGTGACGCAGGGACACAGGCAGCAGTGCGTGAAGGCCGGGAGGGCGGCGGGGGTGAGGCGGAGGGGTCGTGTGGGGAAGGGTGGGATAACTGCAGTGCTTTCAACAATAAACACAGATTAAAGAATGGTTTTAGTAGCTTGTCAAAGAGCACTCCTAGAAGAGACTGGCCCGTATTCTTGGAGTTAAATACCACACACGCACACACACGCACACGCACAGCGTATTCACATTTGAATTCCAGTGTCACACAGATGCAGACTGTGAAAGCGCGTGAACACATGAACACGCGTGTTCTCGTCACTGCAGTCAGGAGGCCGAATGTTACTGCTCTCCCAGAGGCCCCCACACGGCGCTCCTTTTGTTGACACTAATCCACCACCCTGGCTTTTAGTACTAGGTTAGGTCAGTCTTTGCATTTGATATGAATGGGACTGTACAGTGTGTGTTCTTTTGTTATGAGAGTCATCCAGTTGTATGTAGTATCTTTCTGTTCAACTTCTGCTCATCTGTGGGTGTGCATTGTAATGTACTCATCTGTCTCCCTGCGTAGCCACGGGCACGTCCTAGCGCTGGGCTGTCTCCCTGCGTAGCCACGGGCACGTCCTAGCGCTGGGCTGTCTCCCTGGCATAGCCACGGGCACGTCCTAGCGCTGGGCTGTCTCCCTGGCATAGCCACGGGCACGTCCTAGCGCTGGGCTGTCTCCCTGGCATAGCCACGGGCACGTCCTAGCGCTGGGCTGTCTCCCTGGTCGTAGCCACGGGCACGTCCTAGCGCTGGGCTGTGTCCCTGGTCGTAGCCACGGGCACGTCCTACCGCTGGGCTGTCTCCCTGGCATAGCCACGGGCACGTCCTAGCGCTGGGCTGTCTCCCTGGTCGTAGCCACGGGCACGTCCTACCGCTGGGCTGTCTCCCTGCGTAGCCACGGGCACGTCCTAGCGCTGGGCTGTGTCCCTGGTCGTAGCCACGGGCACGTCCTACCGCTGGGCTGTCTCCCTGCGTAGCCACGGGCACGTCCTAGCGCTGGGCTGTCTCCCTGCGTAGCCACGGGCACGTCCTAGCGCTGGGCTGTCTCCCTGCGTAGCCACGGGCACGTCCTAGCGCTGGGCTGCCTCCCTGCGTAGCCACGGGCACGTCCTAGCGCTGGGCTGCCTCCCTGCGTAGCCACGGGCACGTCCTAGCGCTGGGCTGCCTCCCTGGTCGTAGCCACGGGCACGTCCTAGCGCTGGGCTGTCTCCCTGGTCGTAGCCACGGGCACGTCCTAGCGCTGGGCTGTCTCCCTGCGTAGCCACGGGCACGTCCTAGCGCTGGGCTGCCTCCCTGCGTAGCCACGGGCACGTCCTAGCGCTGGGCTGTCTCCCTGCGTAGCCACGGGCACGTCCTAGCGCTGGGCTGTCTCCCTGCGTAGCCACGGGCACGTCCTAGCGCTGGGCTGCCTCCCTGCGTAGCCACGGGCACGTCCTAGCGCTGGGCTGTCTCCCTGGTCGTAGCCACGGGCACGTCCTAGCGCTGGGCTGTCTCCTTGCGTAGCCACGGGCACGTCCTAGCGCTGGGCTGTCTCCCTGGTCGTAGCCACGGGCACGTCCTAGTCACTGTCCGGCAGCTGCACGCTCGCGTGGTGTCTTTCGGGCACGCAGCACGGGTGGGAGCTCCAGTCACGGTGCTGGTGAAGCTCACTCGCACTGAATGATGCAGTTGGTTTTCTAAAGTGCTTCCTAGGTTACTGGGTTGCAACTCACGGGAGCTCATATTTTTTCATGTTTTTACCTATACTCAGTATTGGCAGTTTTATATTTTAGCCATTTTGTAGAAGGATGGTGTGTTCCTTTGTGTTATTGAGGATTAATGAAGTTGAGCACCCTCTTGTATATTTATTGGTCTTTTGATTTTCCTCTTTTATCATTTGCCTGTTGAACTCCTTTGCTGATTTTATTTATTTATTTAATTTTAATTTTTTTTTTCTTTATTGATTTTTAGAGAGAGAGGAAGGGAGAGGGAGAGATAGAAACATCGATGAGAGAGAACATTGATTGGCTGCCTCCTGCATGCCCCCCACTGGGGATCGGGCCCACAGCCTGGGCATGTGTCCTGACCGGGAATACAACCTGGCGACCTCTTGGTGCAGGGTCAGCGCTCAACCACTGAGCCACACTATCCGGACTCCTTTGTTGATTTTAAAAAATTGAGTTGCTTGTCTTCTTACTAATTTTTCAAGGTTCTTGTATACATTTTTAAATTGAGCCCTTTGATGATTATATTTCTCTCTCTCTCTCTTTCTGTGTGTGTGTGTGTGTGTGTGTGTGTGTATTTTCTATTCCTTGGCTTTTCTTGTCATTATCTATATAATCAATGAAAATTGTAAATTTTAAAAAAATTATTTTTATTCTTGAGAGTATTACTGATGGCTCCCCTTCCCCCGCCACTGACCCCCGCCACCCTTCTTCTGGCCCCCGGACCCAAGCCTTCATCACACTGTTGTCTGTGTCCATGGGCTGTGCACATATGCACATAAATTCTTTGGTGAGTCTCTTCCAGAGCCCTCTCCCCTTCCCTCTGAGATTCCTCAGTCTGTTGAAACAGTTTGTCTACTTTTGTTTGCTGGTGCTTTTTCTGTTGTAGGTGATATCTTTGCTTACATTTTTCCTACCTTATCTTCTGGCTGCATTATTCTTTGCTTGAGTTTTGTGAATTTAATGATGATGGGAGTGATATGGATGTCAAGATTATCTAGCACCATTTATTTGAAAAACTCTCTTTCTTCCACACTTCACCCCTTTTATCACAAATCCAGTGCCCTATAAACTGGATTCTTAGTTGGCAGTAAGTTCCACCCCATCTGTCTGTCTGTCTGTCCTTCTGCTATAGTGTTGTAATTACTTTTACTATTTAATAATTAAAGATCGGTATCTTACTAAGGTCATTCCAACCTTGACCTTAATCTCAATAAGTCTAAGCTGTTTTTGATTCTTTACATTTCTATTTAGATTTTAGACTTAATTTGATAATATACAAATTAAAAACAACTTGCTGTAGTTTTGGCAAGGAATGGAATTCATAGATCTGTTGTAACGAGTTATATCGCATCTATAAATCTCTCTCAAGATTGTGACTTCCAAACTGTGAACGTCATATACCTCTTCCATTTTTTAATTTTTCTTTTAAATTTTGTTCAGAAACCATTTTTACTGTTCTGTGTTGAAGTCTTATATGTTTATTTGACATACTCTGAGAATTGTAATGTTTTCTATCTGTATCTTTGTCTGTATTTAGTTTTCAAATTAACTTTGTCGAGACCATTTGTTTGCCCTGTTTGAATGCAGTCGCCTTTGCCGTTGGTGGGCGCCCACAACCCTGTGTGACCTGATGGAGTCCAGGCCGTGGCACAGGGCGCGCGACTTTCTGGGTCTGTGCCCCAGGGCGCAGCTCTGCACGGTCCCGCCTGGAGGCATAAGGTTTCCCTCAGCGCTCCCTCCCTTTCGGTGGCTCCTTACCTTTTTACCCATAAGTGTGTTAAAAATTTTATTCAACTGCTAAGACGTTGAACTGCTTCTTTCCAAAACATGTCCATATAAGAAAAATGACCCAAATGCCACTTCTTTTTTAGGATCATAGTCAAACAAAGGGTCTCTGCCTTAACTCTCCACCGCCCGCTGGAAGAGGAGACTTGGTTTTGCTCTGATTTGTGTCCTCTCATAGTTGTTCTAGGCAGGGCGATCAGAATATGGAAGTTGGGAATCCAAATTTTTTTTTAATACGTTTTTATTGATTTTTAGATAGAGAGGAAGGAAGAGGGAGAGAGAGACATTGATGAAGGAGAAACATTGATCAGCTGTCTCCTGCACACCCCCTACTGGGGACCAAGCCCGAAACCCGGGTATGTGCCCTGACTGGGAATCGAACGAGTGACCTCTTGGTGCAGGACCATCGTGCTGGGCCACACCGGCCAGGGCCCTGCATTAATTTTTTAATCAACTTGACAATTTATATTTTAATTAATGTTCTGCATAATTTACATTTAATGGAATTGCTGATATGGTTAGATTAATATCTATCAGTTGTTTTCTAGAAACTGTTGTTTTCTATCAGTTGTTTTCTAGAAACTGTTGTTTTCCATATGCCTTTTTCTTCTGATGTCTCTTACTGTGCCCTCTCCTGTGTTAGTGGAGTATTTTTTGTTCATTTCTTTTCTAATATTGGCTTTTTGTTTATCTTTCAAATATTTTTAGGGGTTGCCTTAGGGTTTACACTGTAAGTCTTTAAATTATCAGTTAACCTTCAGTAGTATTTACTGTTTCACGGTTAGTATAAGATTCT